TTAGAGCGAATAATGACAGAGTGTTCTTCTTCCTTTCTCATAAAGCTATTTTATGACTTTCAATCGCCAGGTGGGCTTATCCTAATGATCGTCACTTTTAGAGATGAACAGAGGAGATTCAACTCGTAACTCTAAGCATTTTGAATTTTGAGATTTGAAACATCACATCCCTCCTGGGGTCCCACGTTGTGTTCTAAAGAATCAAAGTGTCATCATTAAATCTCCACCAACCGACAAACTGTTGCATCATATCATATAGCAGTGATTAAGTCCTCTCGAAAATATATAATAGAGAGAGAAGAATAATCTAGTGAGTCGACATCTCAATCGACCAGAATAGTGACACCCCCTATGACGGCTCGAAAGGCGGTACTAGTCGGCTCGGAGTAGTTAGTAAATTCCTACAAGTTTACAAAGAAGACAACTCATTTAACAAAAATTTTGAGGCTTCACAAAATCAGGAGAACAAAAGATTTTTTCATTCATTGATCAAGTATTACAAAGTATCAGATATACAAGACGACTATGAAAGAATTCCTATAAAATCTATTGAAAATCCATTCCAGCTCCTGGAGTCGAAGGTGGGGAACTTTTAGGAGTAGTCGGTAGAGGAGACAATCGACCCTGCTCTTCATTTGAATCATCTTTAGTCTCATCAAGGTCGAATCTTCCTCCTAGCGCTTCCATTTCCTCCAGCTCTCCTAAACAGCTGGCGACCATGGAGGGATATTGAAAACGATTGGGGATACTTTTCAAATCGGCTGGGAGCTAAGCAAATAAGTGATCATATCCGGCCTTACAAGCTAATGCCACCTCTGTTTTCCAAAGCAAACTTTCGTGATAAGTGTCGATAATATCTTGACAATAAGAATCGAGGATCTCCTGGCAATGCTTGTTGACAATTTCCTACTGATGGGATTCAGACTTGAGGTATGTGACCTTTTCTCGGAGCTTGGTGATTGTTATATGTTTTTCGCCTAATTGACACTTTGCGTGCGCCACCGCCTCCTTTTCTGCTCGAGCCAACACCTTAGCACGATCCCTCTCTTGAAGCACTTCATGTGACTTCTATCGAAGATTAGTGACTTCAGAAGTGTTGGAGACTGATTCTTTGACAGCTTGTTGTCGACTAATTTTCTCATTGGCCCTTAATAATTCCACCTCCCCAAGAAGCTTATGGTACTCAGTCCACAAATGTTCTACTCGACCGTATAACTCTTTTTCTTATACGGCTCCTCGAGTAAAGTAGTTGCGGAGAGCATGATGAAGACCGAGGTCGGGTACCTTCTCCAGATACTTCTCATATTCTGGGAGGAGGAATTGGTCAACCACCCTAGACTAGACTCGGCGAGACCCAAGGACAGTTCCTCAAACATCGAGGTGATGTTTAGCTTCAAAGCGGAACTCCGGTACGAGTTCCATCCCATTGTTAGCACCAGGCGAGGAAAGTCCGGTGAGGCATATTCTTATATTGTCCCATTCTCCCTCTTCCACGTCAGAGAATTTATGAGGAAAAGGATACTTCAGATCGACAGAGGGTCCCATCTCTTCATGAGCCGGCTCCTCTCTCTGTCGAGTCGACTCCTGACGACGATCCGACGATTGCTCTCCAACCTGCATCCTCTCCCCAACTATTTCTCATAGAGAGGCCTCAGATGATTCTCTCAAGATCTCTCTCTCTCTCGAATCGCCCAAAGGGACGATATTAGTCTGCCTCTCTTCCTCCCTCGTTTGAAGCATTCCTTCAGATTTTCTTTTTCTCATCCTAAGAGTGAGGGAAGCAGCGCTTTCTTCACCGACCGATTATATCCCTAAAGAATAAAAATCTTCACGAAGACGTTTAGCTGGCCTAACAGATGGATCCCCCTGGGGATCGACTGGCCTAGTTGTGGGCATCATAGTCGCCTCCCTTGATCCAGTGATGAGGATCGTAGCCCTATCTATGTCTCGAGAAGCTTTCGGCTCAATTGACACCGTGGTCATGCGCAATACTAATCTATCGAGCAGATCTTCAAAGTGGTGAGAGTCTGCTAATCCTTTGATTAAGTCGAGTTGGTTTTTCTCTTCCGAAGACAACGTATTTCTAGCAAGAGTATCCCTCCTTATCTCGGGCCAATCGGAACAACGCATCTCCAAATCATCCCTAATCACCCAAACAAACTTCTCCTTCCAATCCTTATATGAATATGGAAGATCTACGATCAATTTAAACTTTCCTATCATTTGAAAATGATAACGGGACTCCTTTTGATTTACCTTTACGACCACCAAATGAGCGAAGATCTTCAGAGTAAGCCTGATTGCCAACCAATGGCATATTACCGTGAATGCCACAGCAATAGCTATGGCGTTCGGTTTCATTTGCGTAGGCGAAACTCCTAGCATCTCAAATAGTTGTTTCAGAAATGGAGGTAGGGGTAATCTTAAACCGCACTCTAAGTGTCTCAAGTAGAGAGGATGCCATTCAGGCCCATGGTCAAAAACAACCTCTGAACTTGTCGGAGTGAGTAGCTCATATCCTGTAGGGTGTTAAACTTTTTAGACATTGTCCTCAATTGAGTCAAGGTTACTTTGGAATGAGTTCTTTCCAGAAGATCCCGACGATAAACCATTTCTAAAGGCATAGAGAAACAAAAAGATAATTGGCAGGAAAAATGAGCAAAAGGACAAGAGAGATTGGGGAAGAAGAACGGTAAATCAGAAGGGAATTTGAAAGGGTGATAGCGGCGCATGATGGTTTTATATATATAAATATAAAAAACTCCTACTTTACAATTGTCAAGGTTCGAGCCGTTGGATTCAATTACCTCTTATGGTTAGAATCTATCCTTGGAATTTGAAATTCTCCCGAATGACGAAGCGCGCCCCCTTTCTTTTACCTCGAAGAACCCGTAATCTGCCAGGAGAGTAGCCCTGCTACAGTTATGATGATGCCCGCAAATGTCAGATAGTACAGTTCTTTAAATAAGATAATCTCTTCCCCTATTTGTCCTTTGATTATTTTTATTTCATTCGGACTCGTCTCAAGCCGACTCCAAGCGAAAGGGGCTAACTGTTATGGGGTATATCTGTTCTATGGATATATAATCTCATAAGTCGACATTTTGACTAGCCAGACAAGCCGACACTCTTGTGTCGACATGAAAGCCGATGTTGGTCGGCACGAGAGATCTTGACCTCCTAGACGAGTCGACATCTCTATATGGACTCAAGAGACGGTTGTTAGCTGGGACAAGACGATATTCCAACCAGTCGGACAAGCCGACACTCTTATGTCGATACAAAAGGCGATGTCAGTTGACACGAGAGTCAGCAACTCGAAGATATGATATTACATGCCTTGCTTCTCGACCAAGCTAAGAGATTATCCTGGCCTCGAACCTATTGACATAGGTGTCACTTCTCAATATTGCTTAATATTTGATAATCATCATTATGTCACCATCCTCAACAATCTTGAAGACTCGTCGGAATGCTGGGTCCCAATGCTGTTGAAGTGACCTCCCGTCACTCACAAACCGACACGTGTAGAGCAAAGGGTGACTCACCTTCCAGCTCATACTTTGTCATCGTCATTTGCATGGTTGAAATGATCAATCTGTCATTGACATCCTCTATAAATACAAGTACTATTCGAGCTAAAAAGAGAGGTTCACAATCTAAACCCCCCTAAAGCACACACTGCACAAAAACAAGAACACACGGTTTTTTTTTGACCACACTCAAGTTCATCAACTGACTTGATCGTTGGAGGTATCATGGGGGAACTCATCCCTGCCCTCTTACGACTCTTTTTGTGCAGATTGCTCGATCATTCTAATTCCAGAATCAGGCATAAAGTCGAAGAAGAAAGCGACACCCTCTATTTTTTTTATAATCTCCGTGACTTTAGTTGGTTGAGTGATATTTAGCATCAACATATATAATATTAAAATATTTATTTATTGATAATATACTAGTAATAACATAATATTAATATTATTAATAATATTATATCATATTAATAATATTATATCATATTAATAATATTATAGTATTATATTAATAATAAAATAATATTATTTTAAAAGTATTATATAATATATAACAATAACAAATTGATATACCAAAATAATTAAATGTATAATTATTTAAATATAATATGTAATAATTATAATATAAGAATAATTATAATATAATATAAGTCATTAAAATATGATATAATATTATAATACATTATACAATATCATATTGTATTATATTTAATACTTATAATACTATAATAAAAAAATCTAAATATTATAACACTTTATTTATAATATACTTTATTATAGTTAATATATAGTATATTAACAATATGTTTAATATTAATGTTGTAATGGGTCAAACTAGTGTTAAACAAAAACACTAAACACGACGTTTTGAAAATACTTTAAGAGAAAAACACAACATTATTGTGTTTTTTTTTTATAAAAATACAACAAGAAAAACATCATGATATACAAACGAAGTCCTATTGATCATTTTACTATTTTTTTCGCTGAGAATATTCAAATCCTTTAAGATTAGGCTTTTTGATGCTAAGAAATACAAACAACTACAAGTAAAAAGAGTGGAAAGAGAGGAGCAGATTGCAAAGTGTGTGAAAGAGGAATCTAGCTCCCCTTGAAGCAACTCATCAATCATGTTCTTCAAACACAAGACTAGTAGCTTTTATGAGATGATGTGTGATGGTTGTCCTTTGGTTCTCCATCAAATTGTTCAAAGCGAAAGGTGTCCTCTTCTCTGCTAACACAGTGATGACAGAGAGAGAGAGCGCTAGAGAGAGAAAGACAGATGCTCCCATTTTCCCAAGCAAGATGGGGCTGGAAATGGGCTGGCTGATTGGATTGGTATCTCTTTCTCTCTCTCCATCTTAATTTTTATCTCTTATATATAATATAATGCATCCGTAGAAAGCAACGTTTCCTTGTGACTGACTGCGACATGTCCTTCACTCCCCAGCTCCCCAACAAAACTCTCAGCACCTGATGCAGATGCAGCCCATGATGGCAACCTACGGTTCACCGAATCAGGTCACCACCGATATCATTCAGCAGGTCTCTCTCTCTCTCTCTCTCTCTCTCTTCTTTCTCTCTCTTTAATGATGTGGGGCTGGCTTATTTTGGGAAAAAAGATGAGATTTTTATGGCTAAAGATGGGATTTTTTTGGGTTTTGATGAATGACCCATTTCAAAATGTAGTGGCTTGTTGGGTTGTTTTCAAGGTTTCTTTGTGAATGGGTTTGTTGTGTTTTGCTCAATCTCATTGCCTCTCAAATCGGTGAGTGGTTTTTTTACTGGATTGAAAAAAAAAAAATTTAACTGCAGCAGTTCAATGTTTTTATTTTTATTTTCAAGTGGGAAAGCTTTCTAAAATTGGTTGGTATCGTTCTTGAAATAAGCAAGTCGTTTTTTCATAAATAAGTTTTTGATGGAAGAGTTTGGGGTTTATGTAGGGTTCTTGAAATAAGCAAGCCGTGATGTTTCTAAATCATTTTGTATACTCTCAACAGGCCATCAACTTTGTTTTTTTGTTTGTTCTTTTCTCATATCTTTATAAAAATATTTCTATTTTTATCCTATTGCTGATGTTACTCTAATCTCGCTGTCTGAGATCACAGGGATCATGGGATCGCTGTCTTTGATTTTTGCACGTCTCTTTCCCCTTTGAGACCATCATTTTTAGTTGATGTTAGTTGATGTTAGTTGTTATTTTTTTTAGTGTAATCATATGATCTCTTGATCAGTAGTTGCTAGCATTCACCAGCTAAAATAGTTTGCAATAGATACGGACAATATTGCTTGTATTATTAATGGACCTCTATTTTGTATTTGCCTCCTCCTTAGATGCTTGCGTTCGACCATCATTTTTCCTTTACTAGCATCAAATTTTTACTGCTCAACTTGTTCCATTTCTCTAGGTAACCTCATGTGTAGGAATGCATGAGATTTTATTTCTTATATGTGCATCAGAACAAGGTTTAGAGAAGCAAGCACCATATGTTTAGGCGTATTGCTCGAATGAGTCTTTGCTAACATTAAGTCTATAGAACACTTAAGTCTATAAAATGTTATAAAAAATTTGTTTCGGTACATTAATATAAGTTCAATGTAATGTCAACCTACAAATTTGGCTCAAGTTCCTGATAGGTATGAATGGGAAGGAGACTACCAAATGGCTAAAAATGTCAATTGGCATGTAGGAAAAGCTGCCTTATCAGTCATGCAACCAATGAGTAACTTTCGATAGTCTCCTAGATCAAAATAGAAACCACCATTTAGTAAAGAGTTTCTCTTGATGAGGGAAAAACCTTATTAAAGTTGTACATTCTGCGTGATCCCATTTCAGGATAAAAATGAATGAAAATGAGGTAAATAGTATATCTTCTCTCTATTGAATTTATGAATGAGAAATATATAACCCATAATAACCGCAAGATGCGTTCATGAACAAAATGGTATATCACCACTCCAAAATGAGGATTATCAGCCTGCCAGAAATTAAAAAAATAACCTGTATGCTGAATGGATAAATATAATAGTGGTATAGGCACTGGTTCAGTCTTTTTTCTATGTTGTACACGTGTATCGAAATGCACTTTTCACGCATCACTGTGTTCCCTACTTTAGTAAGTCTGTTATTGAGTTCTATGGCATATTTATTACACGGTAGCATATGTGATGGTGCAGACTAGATGTTTTCATGGTACAAATAATTTTAGATTAAAAGATGTCATTTGACCCCATCAAACTTTCGCCAAAGGAAAACCATGGTAAGCGTGATACCCCTAATCTGCTAGGATCTTGCAACTCTTTCAAACACTAAGCTACATACTTACTCATTGTTATTACGTTGAATGTGTCACAAATAGAATAATATGATTGCATTAACCTGTGGTTTCCTTTCATGTACTGCAGTGGTTTAGCTCAAAGCATATATATTTATTAGATTAGAAACTTAGAATAAGAAGGCACCTAGGTATTACATAAAACATTAAAGCATATTTCAATTCTTATCTTTCATATATTACATGCTCATCTCATGCTCCGTTTTCCTCTTTCACAAATTCAGCTGTCCTTTCTTTATCTACATTCAATGTTAAATTAGATAGTGTTGAACTGGTTAGCGTTCAGAACCTAATTTAACAACTACTGGAAGTTTGTCCATTTAATGTCTATCAATCTTGCAAGGTTTTAGACGTTAATCATCAGAAAACGTTACAGCCATCTGTTATAATTTTTTACGTAGACTAATGAATAAGTAGACAAGTTTGACTTGTTTGTTGTCATACTCAAATACTGCTCGGATGGAATCATGGAATCTTATCTTAACATTTCCTGAGTCCATTTCTAAGTAAGGCTTTTGCTGTTTTGTTATATTCCTTTTTGCTGCTTATAGCTTGCTTCTCTCAACGACGATTGATAGTTTTGGTGATTCCGCTTTTGCATTTTGCAGTATCTGGACGAGAACAAGCAGTTGATTCTGGCTATTCTTGAAAACCAAAATTCAGGAAAAGCTGATGAATGTGCTGAGTAAGTCTTGTAATTTGATTATCTTTATTAAACTAAACTCTGCCTCCAAGATCATCACATCATTTTTGTCATGTTTGTAATGAGTTTGATTCGAAACTTCAGTGTTTTGTAATAGCTTCATGGTCAACTGAGGCACATGCCCAGATTAGGCTTATGCTTAAGGACCTCTTTTTCTTTGACTGGAAGTGTTAATTTAAAACAATAAGCCTAGATGAGGTTCCATGATTGTGGACATCATTTTGGTGTTAAAAGTAGAACGAAGCTTGGTGTATTTGACTCCTAATTTAATATGTCGCAAGATTTGTTGTTGGTATTATCATTTTAAAACGTGCCTAAAGGTTTTGATGAATACTGGATTTTCAGAACCGAGTGTTCCGTAATGCTTATTAGCAGCAGTTAAACAAAAAACTATTGTCCATAGAACCTTCTGTGTAGTGCTAAAGATCTTGATGAATACTGGATGTTCACAGCTGAGTGTTCCTCTTTTAGTTATACTGGATTTTTCAGTTTAACGACGAATAATTCCTCCCTGGACTAGAGACAGGTTCTCTCTCAATATGTTAGGAGTCACCATGTGATGCATCTTTCTTTTGTTATTTTGACTAAATTGCTTTTAGAATACCTCAGTGTAGTTGATTGTTGAGAGAGCATACGAATGCATATGGTTTGGTTGTAACCATACATTCCCAGCCGCTTAATATAGCTAACCTAAAAATGTGATGGTTATGATGACAATATTATGCTTGTGACAAAATAGCACTTGAAGCATGACCTCTACATAACAGTAAATCCAGCCTTGTTACTATTTTGGTCTACAACTTGCCTGCTATACAAAATGGAAATTTACACCAGATATCGGAATTTATTCATGTTGGTTTTATTACCTAAAACTGGTGAGAGAAGTTTGATATTCGAGCGTAATGTGCAGCTAAGGGTTAAATTAATAATCTGAGGAATATCCGGAAACTGACATTAGTTCAGAAGATGTGGGGTCTACTTCATTATGAAAATTTATGTCATATAGCACGCATGTTGTCATTTACTCAAACCATCTTGACAAGAAATTCATTTTCTATCCTTTGAATCTATCTCTGGTCACAGGAATCAGGCTAAGCTTCAGAGGAATCTGATGTATCTTGCAGCCATTGCGGATAGCCAGCCCCAAGTTCCTACCATTGCTCAGGTATATATTGGTATTGGCTAACATCAATTATCGGTAGGGTTATTTTCAGATGCACTCTCTATAGTTAGGGGGCTGTAGCTGGTTATCACCCATGCATGTTCTAGTTTATTAGCACATACATCTTTTCATTGGTATTTTTTCAGTTTTGAAACTTTCTTGGGAAATGTATCATGGCCAGAGTTGGACATTGCTAAGAACATTTCCACATGATTCCTGTGGATGTTTAAAAACCAACAATAAGAAGTATGCAATCGAAAGATCAGTGGCTGTTTGTGCTAATAGAATAGAACAACAGTGATAAGCTACTATACGTCCATAGTACAAATGGATGTATTTGCAAACAGAGTAAGCAAAGGTTGGTGTCCCTCCAGTGTGTTTGCTGGTGTATCATGGACAATGGCAAATTACAGTCCAAATCATCCCCGGTCACCTGACCCTTCTCTCCATTTGTTTGTTGATCAATTTTCTTAAGCTCGATTTGTAAAAACCAACGCTGTTGCTGCTATGCAATCAAGTGCTCGCTACATGCAACAACACCAAGCAGCTCAACAGATGACCCCTCAATCTCTCATGGCTGCTCGCTCCTCAATGCTCTACTCACAGTCCCCAATGTCTGCACTCCAGCAGCAACAGCAGCAAGCAGCAATGCATAGCCAGCTCGCCATGAGCTCCGGAGGCAACAACAGCAGCACCGGAGGATTCACCATTCTTCATGGTGAAGCTAGCATAGGAGGCAATGGCTCAATGAATTCTGGTGGAGTCTTTGGAGATTTTGGACGGAGCAGCGGTGGGAAGCAAGAGACTGGGAGCGAAGGGCACGGGACAGAGACTCCTATGTACCTGAAAGGCTCTGAAGAAGAAGGAAACTGAGATATCTTGTGTGTCCCTGTGGCTTTTGTTTGTGAACTATCTTCTTTAATTATCGGTATTAGTATAGGTAGTAGTAGACTCTATGGAGGGTTTTGTTGACTTTGTGTGAGTTGTTGGTGTTGTGGGATTGTGCTTTGAGAGCAACTAGCTTTTGTAAATTAGTAGGCTGAGGAGTTGTTAGTAGTGCTATTGAATGGGTTAGATGCCTCTCTTGCTGATATATGTTTGGTATTATGGTGGCTTACGACTGTGAGCCTGTTAGTTGATGAACGTTGCTGCTAAATTATGGTGAAATTTTGATGGGGGCTTATTAGCTCTCGAAGAGTACCTTATAGTTTGCTAACTTTGCACATATGTACTCGCTTGTTTTTGGCAGCGCTTGCATACCTAAAATTTCTAATTCTGTACTTTATTACCTTTTGTTATGCAAATATCGTAGGATTTTCCTCGAATTTTCTCAGGTGAGGCTCACAAGCTTAGTTTTGTATCTGGCATACTGTCCCATGTTGAGGATGGATTGAGTTGCTGGAATCAATAGAAGGCTAGGAAGAAGATTATAAAAAAATAGAAGGAAGTATGAAGGAAACATAAAAAAATATATCATTTGTACAGTGCTAACTAAGTATAAGATTTGGATATTGTTTGGGGGTTTAGCCTTTATCCTGTGCATGCATGTCTAAAATGGCGAGAAAATTAAGACTAATGGAGATAACAAAAAGAATTAGAATGGTTTGCATTAGGGTGTCTAAAATGGCGAGAAAATTAAGACTAATGGAGATAACAAAAAGAATTAGAATGGTTTGCATTAGGGTGTCGGTCATCCCCCATCATTGATAACAAGAAAACATACATACGACCCCATCATTGATAACAAGAAAACCCTCACTTAACCCTTTGTCAAACGGTACCTAAAAGCACAGACGCAAACAGAGCAAATGTGATTCTTTGGACATAATTCAAGAAAACTATAATTACAATCATATTGAATTACTTTAGCTTATCAATTCACTATTTCAGAGTTCGTTTTCGTTCGTATGTATGTTTTCTTCTTATCAATGATGGGGGATAACCGACGCCCTATGGAGGGTTTTGTTGACTTTGTGTGAGTTGGTGGTGTTGTGGGATTGTGCTTTGAGAGCAACTAGCTTTTGTAAATTAGTAGGCTGAAGAGTTAAGTAGTGCTATTGAATGGGTTAGATGCTTCTCTTGCTGATATATGTTTGGTATTATGGTGGCTTACGACTGTGAGCCTGTTAGTTGATGAATGTTGCTGCTAAATTACGGTGAAATTTTGATGGAGGCTTAGTAGCACTCGAAGAGTACCTTATAGTTTGCCAACTTTGCACATGTGTACTCTCGCTTGTTTTTAGCAGCGCTTGCATACCTAAAATTTCTAATTCTGCACTTTATTACCTTTTGTTATGCAAATATTGTAGGATTTTCCTCGAATTTTCTCAGGTGAGGCTCACAAGCTTAGTTTTGTATCTGGCATACTGTCCCATGTTGAGGATGGATTGAGTTGCTGGAATCAATAGAAGGCTAGGAAGAAGAACGAAACTAAAGTGGGTAGTCGCAGGTCACTCTTTCAAAGAGTTTTGCAAGACTTTTTTTATTGTGTTTCTGTTCTTCTGCCATTATATGTTACCAATCTTGCAATTTGATGTGAATTTATTAATAAATAAGCTACTAGAAAATTCAAAGATATTTTGTCAATAGAAGGAAGTATAAAGGAAACGTAAAAAAAAAAATCATTTGTACAATGCTAACTAAGTAAAAGATTTGGATATTGTTTGGGGGTTTAGCATTTATCCTGCGCATGCATGTCTGGAATAGCAAGAAAATTAAGACTAATATGGAGATAACAAAAAGAATTAGAATGGTTTGCATTAGGGCGTCAGTTATCCCCCATCATTGATAAGAAGAAAACATACATACGAACGAAAACGAACTCTGAAATGGTGAATTGATAAGCTAAAGTAATTCAATATGATTGTAATTATAGTTTTCTCGAATATCTCCCTATATATCCCATACTCTTGCACCCTTCTTTCAGAAAAATAAATTATAAAAGTAAAATGGTAATTTAATTACTGATCCTAGTAAAAAAGAATTATGTCCAAAGAATCGCATTTGCTCTGTTTGCGTCTGTGCTTTTAGGTACCGTTTGCCAATGGGTTAAGTGAGGGATTAATGTGACTTAACCCCTTCTTAACCCGTTAAACACAAAAAATCTAAACAATGGTTAAAGTGAGTTAACCCACCATAATTTGCCAAATATAAAAAATATAGAAGGGTTAAGTTAAACCCTCTAGAGGGATTAAAATGAGTTAAGCCCTCAAAATGAGTGGTTTACTAATACTCCTATTTAGAAGGATTAAGAGTTAACCCTTCTAATTATAAGAAAATAGTTAAAATCTTTGTTATTCCCAAACACTAAAACTGATCACAATGGCTAAAATAAAACTTATTTAACGGGTTAATAATTTAGTCCTTCGAATGGGCTAAGTACATTAATCATTTTTTTAACCCTGTGTGTGTCCCTGTGGCTTTTGTTTGTGAACTATCTTCTTTAATTATCGGTATTAGTATAGGTAGTAGTAGACTCTATGGAGGGTTTTGTTGACTTTGTGTGAGTTGTTGGTGTTGTGGGATTGTGCTTTGAGAGCAACTAGCTTTTGTAAATTAGTAGGCTGAGGAGTTGTTAGTAGTGCTATTGAATGGGTTAGATGCCTCTCTTGCTGATATATGTTTGGTATTATGGTGGCTTACGACTGTGAGCCTGTTAGTTGATGAACGTTGCTGCTAAATTATGGTGAAATTTTGATGGGGGCTTATTAGCACTCGAAGAGTACCTTATAGTTTGCCAACTTTGCACATATGTACTCGCTTGTTTTTGGCAGCGCTTGCATACCTAAAATTTCTAATTCTGCACTTTATTACCTTTTGTTATGCAAATATTGTAGGATGCAGCGCTTGCATACCTAAAATTTCTAATTCTGCACTTTATTACCTTTTGTTATGCAAATATTGTAGGATTTTCCTCGAATTTTCTCAGGTGAGGCTCACAAGCTTAGTTTTGTATCTGGCATACTGTCCCATGTTGAGGATGGATTGAGTTGCTGGAATCAATAGATGGCTAGGAAGAAGAACATAAAAAAATAGAAGGAAGTATGAAGGAAACATAAAAAAATATATCATTTGTACAGTGCTAACTAAGTATAAGATTTGGATATTGTTTGGGGGTTTAGCCTTTATCCTGTGCATGCATGTCTAAAATGGCGAGAAAATTAAGACTAATGGAGATAACAAAAAGAATTAGAATGGTTTGCATTAGGGCGTCGGTTATCCCCCATCATTGATATACAGTGAATTGATTCTACCTGAAAACATCTTGAAATCTCTCTCTTCTCTGATTGATGATCGTCGCACCTTCAATTAATACACCATGTAACTTGACTAAGAAGCATAGAAAGAGGAATGGATTTTAGTAAGGCTGGTGTAAAAAAAAAAAGAAAAAAGAAAAAGAAACGTAAATACTAAATTGAAACTTGATTTCTATTTAGTTTCATGTATAAAGTTTACATAGTAAAAGAATGTTAGTTTATTATTAAAAAGATAAAAATAATATCCAATATGAGATATTAACAATAATAGTCTACTATGAGCACGCCTCTCGATAAGAAGAAAACATACATACGAACGAAAACGAACTCTGAAATAGTGAATTGATAAGCTAAAGTAATTCAATATGATTGTATTTATAGTTTTCTCGAATATCTCCCTATATATCCCATACTCTTCCATCCTTCTTTCAAAAAAATAAATTATAAAAGTAAAATGGTAATTTAATTACTGATCCTAGTAAAAAAGAATCATGTCCAAAGAATCACATTTGCTATGTTTGCGCCTGTAATTTTAGATGTTAATTTTACTCTACGGGCATATTTTGTGCGTTATAAAAATGTGTTTCCTTAAGGTAACTTTAATACTATTACTGACATTTCACACAATAGGTGCTTTTGAACATGCAGCATGAATAGCTCACGGGAATGATGCTATTTAATTAGTTTTTTCTCCACACTAGTCTCCTAAGTCTTTTATATATTTGAAAGTACCTGCAAAATCTATTAAGTGTTTTGGAATTTGTCCCTTTATCATATTTACCATCAAAATTGTCAAGCATGTTCAAGTGAGTGCTTATCGG